ATCTGGCACGGTGATACTGGCCCTTTGACAAGACGCAGTGGGCTGGATTTGCACTGGGACCCTAAAGGTCCAGGTCCAGCCCTTCCCGCTATGCTGAAACCCTCTGTCCAACATCACTGGGAGGTGCTCCCCTGCCCTCCTCGCCTTGTGTCCCTGGGGTGGCGACGCCTGTCTGCCACGAGCTCTGGGTGCCCAGAATTCCCCTCTTGGATCGAGTAAGACCCAAATCCTCGGCCCACCCTCTGGTCCTGGTTCAGACTTGTGGGGCCGCATAGAGCACTCCTCATCCTCTCCTGAGGACGTTCTCACATGCGTGGGGCGCTCTGCCAGTGGGCAGCAGCCTTGGGCCCAAAAGGATTTCTCCCAGCTGCAAGCAGAGCGTCAACCGGGTCTCTCAGAGCGAAGGCAGCGTGCGTGGTAGAAGGGGCACGGGACTCCAAGTCAGTTAGTCTTTTAAATTTATCTGTCTGTGAGCAACTTCCTGTCTAATTGGTAATGATTTCTGTGCAATCCTAAGTGTGCTTGGGAATTCTTATGAAGTGAGAAAAAGCCCAACCTACAAATCATTTCTAAACTGTCATAAAATTTTCATAAGTGCTAAATTTAACAATTAATGAAGTTGACATATTCATGTGTCTCATAGACATTAAACATTTATTAATTTTGATTTTGCAGTTTTCTTTTCATGTTTTAAAGCTTATAATTTTTTTTCTAGGTCTTAAAATGTTTGATAGTCCCTCCTGGCCAAGCACACAGGCGCTTGCCTGCAGCGCACAACGGACAGAGCGCCGTGACCTCGGCCTCTTGGCCCACAGATTGGTTTGATCCAACCAAGGCCCTTAATTCATGAAGCCGTGTTGTCAGGTCACTGCACCAGAGAAAAACTCCTTCCCTCCAGTTCCTGGTTCCACATCCAGGGTAGAGCTTTTTGCAGATGAGGCAAGACTGGAGGATGGAAAGGACAGGGAAAGAAGACAGGAAGAAGCAAGTGTTTCTTAAGAACCTGCCACGAGCGAGCCCCTCCGAGGGGAGTTTGCACACACATGCACACACGTTGGCCCAGGGCAGGGCCAACCCTGTGTTATATATATTTATTTTATTTTATTTTTCTCTGCACAAACTCTTTTTCTCCCAGCTGTGTTATAAACTTGTGATGGGAAGAGGAAACAGACAGGATCTCAGTCAGTTCTAACCACAGCCCAGGGAGGGGAATGTCATGATCTCTTTCATTTTACAGTTTAGGAATTTAAGGCTTTTGGGATTAAGGGATCTTAATACAGACCCAAGATCATGCAGCCCAAAGCGTCAGAGCCTGTGAGTGCCAGCCCAGGGGCTCTGCTCCCTGCCATTCCCACTGCTGTGAGTACTTAAATCTCTCTATGTGCAAAGCCTGTGCTTCGGTTATCTGCCAGGATTATCCTATTCAATTGTCCTCACTAGGGTCCAATTGGACCAAGAAACTCGCTTCAACTTGGTGGGGGCACAGCTGGCAGAGGTGGGTAGAGAGAAAGATATATAATAAATGCTGATTTCAAAAAATAATCTTCCAGCATGTGAGATGAGCTCAGATTAGTATCTCAGATGAAAAACATAGCAAGTCTTATAATTTCTTTTTAAATGCCAGAGTGACTGATAGTTCTAGAATAACTGATAAAATTAATTCACACCTCCATTATTTCAAAGTGAATTTCTACCAACCACATCATTTCTTCATCAACACAGGGAAGCAAACCTTCCCTGAGCTTTCCATCCAGTTCCCCACCAGGCAGCCACCCACCACCCTCAGGTATCCGTGGGCACCCCAATTCAACCTGCCTATATCAGCTCCTCCCTAACTTGCCCCTCCCCTGAGTTTCCTAGTGGTGAGGGGTCTGATCATCCCGGCTCCCCTGCTGGGCTCTCCATGAGGACTTAATCCTCAAATCGCCTCTTCCTGCACCTCCTCTGCCACCAGGCCTCCTGCCAGGGCTTCTTCTGTCCTCCTTGCCTCCCTCTCTGCCCCACATGGCGCCCCAGGCCCCCTCCACCACTGCCAGCCTCGTCCACTCCAGATGAAAGTGTGATGGCATCACTCCCTGAATTGGGCTCTGCAGCGGCTCCCTGCCGTTTGCAGAACTAAGTCCAAGCCGGTTATACGGCGCCCAAGGCCTTTTGTGCATTTCCCATCCTGCCTTAGCTCCTTGGAATCCCAGCTTTGCAATCCATGCTCTCCTAACACTGTCGTCCCTGCTCCCTGCAAATGCCAAGCAGTTTCACCCCATATGTGTCTACGATTCTGCATCTGCTCCCCTTGCAGCACCCTTCCCACCTTTGGGTGGTGAATTCATTGCAACTTATCTTTTAATATTTAGCTCAGATGTTACCTCCTCCAGAAAACTTTGTTTGAAACCCAGTTCACTTTTTGGCCCCCTCCCTATCTTACCCCACCATCTTGCAAATCCTAGCACATTCTGTTGAAATCCTCCATATACTCGTTTCTCTGAATAGATCAAGTGTTAGTTGAGCCAAACTGACTTCAGGTTTTTGTTTTTTAAGAGACAGCAGAGTCTTGCTCTGTTGTCCAGGCTGGAGTGTAAGTGCAGTGGGGCGATCATAGCTCACTGCAGCCTCGAACGAGAGTTCTGGAGAGCCTTCCACCTCAGCCTCCAGAGTAGCAGGGACTACAGAAGCATGGCACCACTATGCCCGGCTAAGTCTAAAAATTTTTTTTTGTAGAGACAGGGTTCTCACTATGTTGCCCAGGCTGGAGTGCAGTGGTACGATTATACCAATGCTTTGGCCCCTTCCTGGGATTCTGATTTAATTGGACTCAGCTATCAGTGCTGACTCTAAGGAGCGTCCTAAGCCAAGAAAACCGGATTGTAGTAAGTTATCTCCGCAGCTCCCAGACAATAAGGGCCAGGTCTGAAGAGGATCATCTGACACCAACTTGAGGGCTTTTAACACGGAAACACAACATGCAGTGGAAAGCACTCAGGCCTTCACTCTCTAGCTGTGTGACTCTGAGCAAGTTACTGAATATTTTACAGTCTCAGTTTCATTCTTCGTAAAATGAGGCTATCTTGCAGGTTGTCGTAGAGATTACGTGAGATGATCCTTGCCACGACGGGATCAGTATCAGCAACACTCTGCCAAGTGTAACAAGTGACAAACCTCAGCAGAGACCCACTTGACCACACAGTATGCTCCACACCAAATAAACTTGGTTCCATTCTTAGAATGGCTTGCAATTCACCTTGTTGATCCTGGCTAAGTCAACATTCGCGGATTTGTGTATTCGTTGTCACGTCTGTCTAGTTGGGGATTGGAACACAAGAACTGTTTTATTGACTGTGAGCTCTAACAATGTCCAGAAAAATGAAATAAATAAGTAAAAAGGAGGATGACGGATTGCTTGGCACTTTGCTGAACCAATCGCTCTTAGTGATGACACACGCTTTCCGAGGAGCAGAGGGTGGACAAATGCCCTGGGTGGCTGTCACTCCATCAGAGACCGGAAAACCTGCCGGGCTGTGGGTCCCTTTTAGCCAGGCACTGCTGGTCACGATGTGCTGGCTCATTCTGGGGTAGTCTTGGTTAGGATGTCTGGTACAGGCAGCCTACCCAAGTCAAAGGAAGGGAATGTTCCAAATGCCCCTAAGAATTAGTTTTATTGTTAGACTCGAAATATTTTAGCTTGTTTTTTACACATGTTGACAATTTCTAGAAATTGCAGGGTATGTACATTTCTCTTGGCCCCAATATTACTCAAAGAGGGAGAAAGCAAAGCAACAGTGCGGGATACATAACCTGCTGCAATTCTCTTTGCCAGAGCCTCTGGGTCTCTCGGCTGGGGCAGTTGCAAGTGGCTCCTAGAATGTTTAAAAAATGCAAAATGCCAACGTTTCCCCTTTAGGACTGACTCCAAGTACTTCTTTATTCTCACTAGCGTCTTTGGTTACTTCTCTTTCCCTCTGCTTTCACAAACTACTCATTTTCTATCTAACTTTTTCAGTGTTTATGTTTTCCTCCTTTCATCTATTTTTATAATAAAACAATATTGATGCGAGACAGATGAGACAATGCCAACAAATTAGCTAACTTAGATGAAATGGATAAATTCCTAGAAAGACACATACTACTTAAACTGACCCAAGAAGAAATAGAAAAATCTGACTAGATCTATATAATAAGTAGACAGTGAATTTGCAATGAAAAACTACCCACAAAGAAAGCTCTAGGCTTTACTGGTGAGTTCTTCCAAATCTTTAAAGAAGAATTAACACCAGTTCTTCACAAGCCTTCACAAGGCAGACGGGGAAGAGGCAGTTTTTAACTCACTCTGTGAAGCCAGCAGGCGTCACCTCCAATACCAACACAAGACAAAGCCTTCCCGAGAAAACTGCAGACAATATCGCTCATGAATGCAGAGGAAAAAGTCCTCAACAAAATACCAGCAAACTTAATCCAGCAACATATAAAAAGGATTATGCACCATGACCAAGTGGGGTTTATCCCACAAATGCAAGAAATATGGGACAGACAAGAAAGCAATGCACAATCCTGCAGGAGCAGTGTGGCGTGAAGGCCAGACGGTGGCACGTTCCCCCCCCCCCAGTCCCCTCCCCAATCCCGTGTCAAGTGCTGGCTTCCCAGCCTCGGGTCTGTGGGCCGGGGCGGGTGGGCTGAGGGTCACAGTGTGTACCTTCTTCTGGGAGGAGGCGGCGGCTCTCCCCCGCGTGGGGACTGAGTGTCTCTGCCCTCCCAAACTACAGCGGAGCTGCAAAGACCAGAGCTCACACACGGCTCAGAGCTGGCAGGGGCTGCGGCCACTTCAGCCAAGAGATTTCATGTGCGAACGTCTGTCCCCTACGCAACTCGGAACAAGCAGACCAGACCCGCTGGCCACCACCCTTCCTTCAACATCCCGCTCCCCCTCCGAGCCCTTCAGTCCCACTCCTGCCATTGCCTGCCGGACAGCGGACAGCAAGCGGGAGGGAAGGTGGCGCGGCGGCTCCTACCATGTCGCTCTGTGACTGCGTGGCCCCGTACATGGTGATGCCGTTGGAAGGCGCTGCCGGCTGCGGGGTGTCGGGCTGGATGTACCCTCTTCTGTCAATGAGGCTGCAGAGGAGACACACACAGGGGCAGGGTGAATAAAATCCAAAGGCGCTGGATACCGCGTCCGTCTGCGTGTCGGGCTCCTTCCCGCCCTCCATGCCACCCCGTACAGGCACCTTGCCACCCGAGAACGGCTCAGACCCCAGCACCTCCCGCCTTGGCCACCACTGACCGCGGGGGCCTCCTTGCTGGTCAACCTCCACCCACCGCCATCGGTCCCCAGCGTTCCTCTCCAGCCTTAAACCCGCTCTTCTTGTTACATTCACTCAGCAGGCGTGTCCAGAGTGCTGTCTACACAGCACAGCCCACCCACTGCACCTGCTTTGCCACTTCTGTATTTGTTCAGGCTGTTTTCTTCCCCACTCAACGTCTCTCTTCCTTCCACTCTGCTGTCCATTCGTCAAGGCCAGGTTCAAAAGCGCCACGGCCCCTGCTCTCATCTAGTGGCCTCTTGCCTCGTTCTCCCCTCCCTGCGTTCCCTGCACCCTCCGGAGTGTCATGGTGGGTCTACACAGCGTCGTCTTTGTCTAGCAGCCCCCAAGTTCCCAAGGGCAGGGTCTCCCTCTCCCCCCACAGCACCTGGCTCTCGCCTGGCCCACAGAGACAGGGATAGAGGCCCACAGAGACGGAGTAAGGCCCAGGACAGAAGGCCACAGAGACAGGGATAGAGGCACAGAGACAGGGATAGAGGCCCACAAGACAAGGGATAGACCACAGAGACAGAGATAGAGGCCCACAGAGACAGGGATAGAGGCCCACAGAGACAGAGATAGAGGCCCACAGAGACAGGGATAGAGGCCCACAGAGACAGGGATAGAGGCCCACAGAGACAGGATAGAGGCCCACAGAGACAGGGATAGAGGCCCACAGAGACAGAGATAGAGGCCCACAGAGACAGAGATAGCCAAGAGGACAAAGATAGAGCCCCGAGAAGGGTAGAAGGCACAGGACAGGATAGGAGCACAGAGACAGGAAGCCCCCGTCTACACCTGCCATGGAGCCGCCTCAATCACTGTGGCTCTGAGACCAGCACTCAGTAGGTGCTGAGCTAACGCTTGTTGATGGAATGAGTAAAAACGGGTCAAGTTTCTGAATAATGCCTCCAAAGACCTCTGTTCCTGCTCCCTGGGGTGCTGTGCCCCCAGAAGGGAGGGTGGTGCTTTCCTGTGCCCTCGGGAGAGCTGCCTTTCTTCTCCCCGGTGAAGGCTCAGCGTTGACCTTGAGTCTAAGGGAAGCCATGTGGACAGCAGCAGGAGGCCCGGCTAATGAAGGGGACCCCGGTGTGGCCCCCACTGCGTTGGACGGGCCACACTCAGAACACAGATCAGCCCTGACATCCTCAGCAGCTTCCACAAGACGCAAACTCACACCCTGCCCGTGGGGCGACCGCCTGGGCTGCCGAAGGGCGCTCTGTTCACGGGGCAGAGCCTTCCCCTCCTCAGCTCAGCTTCCAGAAGGTAGGAGCTGATTTCCCAACTACACCTGCAGGTCTTTAGATGACAGAATAAGGGACCATAAAAATCACTGTGACTGGATCTTAGAATGGGACTCTCTCCCTTCAGTTCCAGCCAAATCCCCAAAGGCTTGGAGAAAACAACAGCAACAAGAACCTGCACGTCGCAAAGGGCCCGGCCGGACCCCGTGCAGGACGTCAGAGGGGGTTCTCAAACCAGCTTTGCAAGCCCCCTGCAAGGGTTCAAAAGGCTGAAGGGGACAAGAGCCGGGAAGGCTGAGGACTGGGGAGGAGCTGGTGCTTGGGGCTGGGTGAGGGTCCAGGTGCGGGTCCCCTGGGAGAGAGCCAGTGTAGTTGGCTTGGGGGACTGTCATGGGTTAAACTGTGTAGAAACACATGCTGAAGTCCTAACTCTGGCACCTGTGAGTGGGACCTTATTTGGAAACAGGGTCTTTGCAGATGTAGGCAAGTTGAGTTCATACCCGATTAGGGTGGGCCTGATCCAACGTGACCGGTGACCTTGCAAGAAGAGACAACGAGACATGGGGAGGAGGATGCCACGTGAAGGTGCAGAAACACACTGCCACCGGCGACAGAGGCAGACATTGCTGGGGTGCATCTGCCAGCCGAGGGACGTCAAAGACTACTGGCTGCCACCAGGAGCTGGGACACGACTAGGAAGGACCCTCCCCAGTGTCTTGGAGGGGCACAGTCTTCCAACACCCTGATTTCAGACTTCTAGCCTCCCCCTGCGAGAGAATCACTTTCTGGTGTTGCGAGTGCTGCAAGCCCCCCGTTCACCTTGTTCTCCTGCGGGACTCCGCGCAGGACTGCCCCGCCCTGGCCAAGCAAGATCTTCCTTGTCTGGCTCCGCGTTCACCCTGTAAAAGCTTCCGAGGGCCCCTGCAGGGCAGCCCCAAACTGCTGGAGCTGCCAGATTCATGAACTGCTGTAAATAAACTCTTTCATATTTTAATGTGCCTCAGTTTACCTTTTAACAATTGATTCAAGCAGTTCTGAGGGTCATTCCTGAGAAATGCCCCACCCAAAGGAACCTGGATTTGGGGGTGAACACAGCCCAAACCAGCCACAATGGCACATTTAATCCAGCCTCCAGCTGTGGACAAAACCACTTTGGCTGTGACAAGATTTGGTCTATAAACAGTATAGGGTGGTGCTGTAGGCAAATCAAGGACTCGGGGACAAGCAAGGAGATCTGGACAGAGGGTGAGACTTTCAAACTCCCCCCCTAGATGCAAAGGTGCCCTGCAGGTGCGGGGGCAGGGCTCAGCTCTCCTCCACTCTCACTCCTTCCCGCCTGCTCCCACGGGAAACACAGCCTAAATTGTGAAAAATCAAGCATTTCCCAGCCTAAAAAGTCCCGAGAAGGCTCCCAGGTTGAGCCTGGAGCTCTCCTCAAGAGGGGCTGGCACCCACCAGGCCACACCTGACCCCTGGCCCGAGCGCCTCCACCCCAGAGTCCTCGCCTGCCCCTTCCTGCCACCGCTCCCTCCCGGCAGAGGGATCCTCTGAGCAGCAGGTCAGCGGTCCCCGGAGGTCCCCATGTCAGGAAGGGAGTGGCACGCTGGGCTCCCAACTTCCTAGGCCAGAGCTGGAAGATGCACCACGAATGCGTGGTGGCATCTTGAATGTAACAGGAACGAGGCAGTAGCACCATGAACGACTCAAAGCTACAAGAACCCAACCCCAATTAACAAACAGCATTAACAGAAATAACGCTTGGATTATTTTTGGCATTACTTTTACTTCCCCAATGAGGGTTCCCTGAGGCTGGTCGTAAAGTTTGCATTCCATGCGCTCACATCAGTAAGGACTTGGAAACTCATTCTAGAGACCCGGTATAGTTGCTCAATAAATATCTGTTGGTGATGGTTTGATTCATCTGTGGGAAATAGTCTACACGGACGTGACTCACACCAATCAAAGGCTGGCTGTAGTGTGGACTGGCACAGTCCCGACTCGGAGGCAGCATGCGCGGTGGACACCACACTGGTTCTGATGCTCAATGGCCTGGGTGTGAGTCCCTGCGAGCTGGCATTTACTAGCTGTGTGATCTTGGGCACATTATTTAAACTCCGTGCCTCAGTCTCCTCATCCATACGATGGGATATGGCAGTACCTACCTCAGAGGTACGGAGTGAGCTCTTAGGAAGTTAGTACAGGCAAAGCACTGAGAGCAGGGCCCGGCACTCGCCCAGCGAATGTCAGCTACTGCCGTCATTGATACTGTCATCATCATTGTCATTACCACAATCTCAGCTACGCCAGTCCACGTGGATCTCTCTCTAGGAATGGTTTTGGCATCTGTACTCCGGACAGATCAGCTGTCAGCACTTATTTCTATAGGTCTTCTCGTTGCTTCCTTCCTACACATGTGTGCCGGCGCCCTGATCCCCACAGACGCTCAGCAACATTCGGTAACGAATAGCACCACACGCTGGGTGTCCTATTGTGAGCTCCAGGAGACATTTCCCCAAATTGGACATGAATTCAGCTGAAGTCTAAAAGAGGTGGGGAGAGTGACATGACGCATGGAGCCGGGTCTCTGTGTCACGAAGGCCGTGTCTATACAGCACACAGCGGCCAGCTGGTGGTTGGGACCATCCCCCCGGCGGTGGCCAGGCCTCTGTCCCGAGCCACCACAGGGGAGGCTTTTCTGAGCTCTGTCAATTAAGGAGCCTGCTGCGTCCTGACTCTTACCTCGGAGAGATGGGCCCGCACAGGGCCACGCAGCAGTTTGTGAAGATATTTCCATAGCTGTAGGGATTGTAATTTTCTTTACCTCTTTTATTTGACCAAGATCCTTTAATCTGAAAGAAAAAACAGTCGATAACACACAATAGCCTTTGCATCAATGCCACATTTTAGGCCAGCTGGACCATGAGAGGCCCATCAAGAATGCGAATAATCTTTCCTCACTTAGTCACCAAAAGAAACTGAGGTACTTTTTCCTCAAGGAAAATAGGCATTTACCTCAAACTTGGAAACATCCCCAAACAGCAGGTTAGATTAGGGGGGAAAAAAAAGAGTAGAATTCCCTGGGAACAATAATCTTTTATTTGTACCACATGGTCCTAAAAGGTCATCTCACACAAGCGAGCAGAGATCTTTTTCACACTCACGTGTAGGGCCCTAATGGGCGCGAGTTGAAAACGCTATGTGGTTCCCCTGACTGCCCGCTGACAGGCCGTGAGAAATCAGTCTCACCTTGTTGCCACAACAGTCTGTTCTGCTGATTCTAATATCCACATTGGCCAAATACAAATAACTGTACTAACAAGCTCTCATCTCACGTGTCTCATCACCACCGGTTTCCTCAAGCTTTTGTCTGAGGTAACGGACCTGTTCTCAGACATTCAATTCACGTATGGACAGAGGCTTATGTCAACATCTAAGGATTAAGAACGAAGACGACCATGCTTATCAAGAAGCATTTTCCAACATTTTGCCTCCTGTTTTTATGTCTCCTCTCCACTTGCATTAAGTGCAGGCACATAATCCTGGACAAAACGTTGGACTTTGGGTCAGGGCAATTTCCTCCAAAACCTAAACTGAGACATAAGTGTAACAGGAGGGGTAGACGCAACCGCTCACCCCGAGTGACACCTGCTCACAAAACTGTTAAAGGGAACAGAAGGAACCTTCTCCTCAGGGCCAGAAATGGGTGTCACCTGGCCAGTTCTAGCGTCTAACTGACATGGTCAGAAAAGAAGAGGACACAGGTTGCCGGTGGAGAAACCTGCGGAAGGGCACGCAGAAATGCCGCCGCCGCACGCCCTGCACTCCCAAGGCTCCCGTCTGGAGCGGGGTGCAGGGAGAAGGGGACCCCACACCCCTGCGCCCCTCTTCTCCTCCACCGCCAGGCTGCAACGAGCGCCCCCGTGCCCCGCAGCCCGGAACTCACGTCTTCATTGGTCGTCTGGTTGGAGCTGATCAAGTAGGTGTGGAAGCCGGAGAGGCCAACGATGGACCAGACGGAGAAGAAGCACACCACGGCCTCCAGCACGGTGGCGCGAGTCAAGGAGGCCAACGGGAGCGGGAGAGCGTCCCTCGGCCGCCCCACACGGGCGGGAGGGACCTCAGCCTTCTGCCCTGTCTCTAGCCTGGCACGGCTGCCCACTCTTCCTCCGGTTTTCTCTCTAACCAGAGGGCGACTCCTCAGGGCAGGGGTGTGTCGCCTCCCCCAGGGCCGAGCAGCGGCTGTGGCTTGTCACAACTGGGGGGCTCCCCGGTCACCACCCGTCCCCTTCCGACAGTGGACGCTGCCTCAGGGGCGGGGGTGTCTTTACTCAGGGGACCTCTTCCCAGCCCTCAGCCCATCCCTGACACAGAAGGCTGTCCTCAGCTGCCGGACAGGCAAGTGGGGGACAGGAATTCCCACGGGACGCCGAGCGAGGAGCCAGGAGCCCCCCAGACTGCTGCAGCCGAAGGAGACAAGCTCGGCGTCCTGCAGCACAGGAGATCGACCAGCCACGAGGGTGGCAGTTTGAAAAGACCACAGAAGTTTTGTCTCACAGATGTTTACAAAATTCTATTTACAAGATACAGATGTTCCTCAGGAAAAAAAACTCCATCCATCGTGGGTCTGGGAGTTTAAACACACACCTTGCATCCGCTCTCAATAAGTTAATGACACGCAGGAGAAAGTGAACACTCAGGCTTCCCTGGTGCTTCCAAGGACAGAAGCCAGGCAGCGCATACCGTAACCCGTCCCCACTGATTTCCCCCAGGTTGGATGATTCATCTTTAGACCAGACTGCGGAGAACGCTACCCAGCGCAGTGTCACGGCTGAGTAATGCCATCGTCTGGGCACACGAAAGGGGAAGAAAGAATGGGCTCCCGTCTGTTGACTTTCACCGGCCTGTTTGTGGAGAAGCAGATGGCAGGGAGGAGCGGTAAGGGACAAGGAGGCTCGGGAAAGCAGACCCCTGCCCTGGGCTGCCACCAGCCTGGGCAACTCCCTTGCAATGCTCCCAGGGTTACCCTGGTGGGCAGGTGGCTGTGGTGGGAGCCTCAGGTGCACATGGGGACACATGGACGGTGGCCCATGTAGAAAGGTTGGTCTTGTCCTCAACTGCCTTCCTCCAGGTCAGGGCTTCCGGATGCCCCGTCCCTCCCCACATCCCAACCGGGGAGGGCACAGACAGGGCAGCGGCCACGTGGGAGTCCCGTCAGTCGCTGGTTTGAAAGGGAGGGTGAAGTGGATCCAGGGGAAGTGATGAGGTGACCAGTGGGAAGACAGAGTTGGGAAGACTGGGTGTTGACACTGGACAGGCTGGAAGGGAAGATAGGAGACAAGGGAGATCGAAGAGGAGGCGACACACGGAATGGAAGCAGGAAACGGTCATGGGTAATAAGAATGAAGAATGGAACCAAGGGATTTATTTACTGAATAACACATGAAGGAGCGAACTTCCATCTCAGAAATACTTTTGTGTCACCTGAGGTTTACAATCAAGGTAGAATGATGGGGAAGTGAAAATATACACGACATTCACACATATCAAATGTAAAAACTGGCATGTGTCAGACTTCCCACTGTACAATATACCCACATGTAATAAAACGTAATAAAACTCCACATGTACCCCCTAAGTCTATTGAAATAAAAGAAAGAAAAATTGTTGGGTTGGAATGCTCTTTACATGTCTTGACCAACCTTGTTCATTGCTTTAATTATTTCAATCTTCTCTATTCTCATTGATTATTTCTGTCTGCTTGATCTATCAATAAGTAAAAGAAGTGTGTTAAAATAAAATAAAATAAATCTGGCATGTGAGAGTGGACGAGAATCCAGGATCTAAAGCAGCTCCTGCCTGTGTTCTGGCCACTGCACCTTTTGCAATGCCACCTGCACCCATCATCTCTGCCAGGAGGCGTCGTGACCAGCGGATGTGGATTTATAAAGGCTTATAGCAACAATTTCTAAAGCAATATCTCATGTGCTTTAGAAACATAAATAGCAGAATTCAGTCCCACTGTTTGCTTGCAGCTGTGTCCCAATGACATGAAGCCATGGCAGGACGCAAGATGCAGCCCACTCACACCCGCCCCCGGGGCCCAGCGGACACTGCCCCACAGCACGTCTTAAGGAATCACCATTCATGACAACAGCGAGCATCACTGGCAACGTGTCAGGTACTGCTCCAAAGGCTTCCGTGAAGTAACTCAGTCTTCAGAGCAGCCCAGGGAGGAGTGGGGCTCCCAGTTAACAGGCAGGGAAACTGAGGCAGAAGGCAGTAAAGCAATTTGCTTGGAAAATAGCAGCAGACCTAGGAGTTGAATGCTGGAAGCCTGCTCTGCCAGGATGACAGAAGAGTCCTGGGCTGACCCCTTTCCTAATCCTTGCTGAGGGACAGGGGGCCCGAGGCTGGCCCTGACCTCTGCCAGGGGAGATGGGACGCTCCTTGTCAGGGATTCGTGAAGCCAAAGGCAGCCGAAGTCAGTTCCCTTCCAATCCACTCAGACCGAGATGCAAGTATCCAAACACACATTTCCTCACTGCCCCAACAGCTAGACGTTGAAAATAAGATCAAGAAATATAAATTTCCCTTAAATGTATTAAAACTCATTTGCTGATATTTTTGGAAAGAAAAATGAGAAAAAAACAATGCAGCTCTACTGGGAGTCACTTTAATGAGGAGCTGGACTTTGGTCTACTGCACCGGGGCTGGGTTTCAAATTATAGCAGTGACCGTCACCAGCCTCTGTCCCCCGCCCCCACAGCTTCCACTAAGACAGCGAGCCCCCTTTGTGGCCAGGGTGACGGCATCAAATTCCCCGTAACCCCTAGCCCAAGAGGCTGCACCCTGAGGTACCCACTGTTTTATGGAACTGAAAAAGACTGAAAAGAGCTGCTCTGCGGAGCCCCTCCCTTGAGTTTCCGCTTAATCACAGAGGTGCCCATCGCTGCCTTTCTCCCCCCTGCCCGCACAGGGCGCAGGAGGGGCTGGGGAAGGACCAGCTCCCTGCCCTAAGGGAGTGGGCTCTGTCTGCCCCAGAGGGTAAGCAAGGGGAGAAGGCTGTGCAGGACGTGGAAATACCGCCCAGCAGAACGGTCAGGACACCTCGGCGTTTAGGGAATCCTAGAAGGTGGCAGATCACGGAACCACATCTCACAGGTCTTTAACCTTTTCAAGTTCCCACTCTTTTCTCAGGAAACAACACACATGAACACAATTTTTAAAAATAATTTTAGGAGTTCTTAAAACTCCCCTGAAATCCCTCCATGGATATGCACTGATTTATTCTAATCTCTTCATTTTTCAGATAGGAAGCCAAGGCCCGGAGAGGCCAAGCCACTTATAAGAGCTCACACAGCAATACATGTTGGAACAGAACTGGAACCTGGTCTCCAGACTAGGACCCTTCCTGAAGCCCCAAGGGATGGCAGTGTCACAGGGCACTCTGCAGGCCTCAGTGCTCATGGTGGCAGGCTGAGACAGCCTGTGACTCCGAACCCTGTCTTCAGCCCATGGCCTCAGAGCCACCCAGTGAGAAAAACCCGTCTGTCAATACGTCGTGACCCATCTTCTCCCCACCTTCCAGCAATCGGGCTGGTGATGCCGGCATCGTGTGTCAAGTGCCAAATTCAGATAACATCTTATTTTAAAAAGTTTGTGCGTTTGTGTACGCGTCGTTCTCTGTTGGTTTGCTTATTAACCAGAATTCCAGAAAGGCTGGGGACTGTGGAAGTCCAGGGCTCTGAGGGGGTCCCTCTCCTCCCCACGCCTGTGGCTGATGAGGCCCTGGGTGCCCCACGGCGGCGGTGGGGCGCCCCTCCGGGGTGCAGATGTGTGCCCCAGAGTCCGCCTGCGTCGGACTCTGCTTCAGGTCCTCTGACTTGGGAGAGAACCAGGCATGAAGCATTCTGATGTTCAGAATGTAAGAAAAATATATGTTGTTTGCAATTATTTTTTTCCCTAAAAATCACAGTAAAATAGGCAATGCTCACTTATAGGGAGAGTTTTGCTGGAAGAGCAGAGAGCAGCGATACTTTCCTTTGTTCTCCAGGTAAAGTGCCTCACATCAGCATTTAATGCTTGCAGATACGTAGGGTCAGGAACTTGTCAGCATATTCGCCTTGTCAGCCAGACGTCCCTGTAATCCTTAGACAGAGACGGCCGGCTGTGCCCTGTCTCCTGAGTGCCCGTCGCTGCGTCTGGGCTGGGGGCTGTGGACTTCCTGGCGACTTGCATGACAGGCCCTTTCAAAGTGGACAGGCTCTGAGACCCTTCAGGCTGGACCATCTGACCATCACCTTTCAACTTCTCACATCCCAATCTCTCTCGCACACTTCGACACAGGCGATAACGGCGTGTGGTTGCCCCAGATCAGGCCAGGAAGTCACTAGAATTCCAACTACCATTTTCAAAATGGAATTGGACCAACTGACTCTCAAATTCATCTAGCAGACAAAATGTTTAAGAACAGGTAAGAAATTCTGAAAAAGAGCCATCATGGGGGTGGGGCAGGAGAAGACTTTTCTAATAAAACGAATTGCGACTTGGGCTTGCACACGCTTGTGTCTGAAAATTTTCTCAGTCATAATTTCAAACATGATAAATAGCTAATCTACCTATATATTTATTACTACAAAACAGACATAAATAAAAAGCTCTTTGGGGTCCTTAATAATTTTTCAATGTGTAACAGAGTCCTGAGAACAGAAAGTTTGAGAACTGCAGGAAGGGAACAGTAAGCGGTTGCTGAGTGTGGTGGCTCACGCCTGCACTCTAGGAGGCTGAGGCGGGAGGATCATTTGAGGGCAAGAGTTTGAGAATAGTAAGTGGTGTTGGGATGCTTCACTAAACATTTGGATAAAATAAAGTTGGAACTTCCACCCCATTTGGCCCTTCTAATTGAATTCACACCACATACACCAACTTATAAGATGTATTACTGTGCCAAACATAAGAAACAAGATATAAAGATAAAGGAGGAAAACCAAGGAAGTATTCATATAATTGTGGGATGAGCATATAAGGTACAAACCTAGGAGCCATA